TGTGACTTCACAGCTCACAGCAACCTCAAACTCTTGGGCTTAAGCAATTCTCTTGCCTCAGCCTCCCAAGTAGCTAGGACTACAGGCGCCTGCCACAATATCCAGCTATTTTTTTGTTGCAGTTGTCATTGTTGGTTAGCTGGCCAGGCCAAGTTCAAACCTGCCAACTTCAATGTATGTGGCTGGCACCATAACCACTGTGCTACCAGCGCCGGGCCCATTGTTCTGTTTTTAACACTCCTTTCCCCCCTGCCAAAGGAGTCCAAATAGAATATCAGAATTAATACTCTAACCTGTTGGTTCTCAAAGTGTGGTGCCCAGATTGGTAGCATTCACATGACCTGGTGTGATGGCAAATTTTGTGTGTAACTTGGCTAGGCTATGGTGCCTGTTTTTTGCTTATGTATTTTTTATTTATTTTTTGTTTGTTTGTTTTGGTTCGGTTTTTTTTGTTTTGCCAAATGTTAGTCTAGATGTTGCTCTGAAGGTATATTGCAGATGTGATTGGCATATATAATTGGTACTGTAAGTAAAGGATATCACCCTTGATAGTGTGGGCGGGCCCATCCAATCAGTTGAGACTTATTAGCAAAAACTAAGGTTTCCTAAAACAGAAGCAATTCTGCCTTGAGTCTGTAACATAGAAATCCTGCCTGAGTTTCCAGCCTGCTGGCTGCCCCTGCAGATTTCAGACTTGCTAGCTCCCGCCATAGCACATGAACCAAGTCCACACACACACACACACACACACACACGTTTCCACTTATCTAGAAAACCCAGATGGATGCAACTGGGAACTTGTTAAAAACATAAACTCTCAGGCCCCACACCAGGCCCACTGAATCAGACACTCTGCAGGTGGGAAGCTTTGATAAGCTTTCCCGGAGATTCTGTGCACACTCAAGTTTGAGAACTGCTGCTCTGCAACCTCAATATGCAAAGTGTATGGGGGTTTGTGCATGGGCACAGCCTGGGAGCTGGTTAGAAACAGGATTCTTGGCCCCACCCAGCCCTGCGGAGTCAGGCTCTGCACATCCCTAAGGTCCCCTCCTCGCCATGGTGCCTGGGCACACTAAAGTTTGAGGAACACAGACCTGGTGCTTTGGGGTGGGGGGGAGGCAGAGAGAAGAGTGGATATTTCATGGATTCTGGGAAATAACAGTAAAAGCAGTCAATTCTTAGGCACCTAATGCCAAGCCCTTCATATCACTTATACAATCCATGTATTTAACAAGTATGACTTCATGAATTCTCTCAGAATCCTGTAAGGTAGATACACTCACTAATCCCATTTTACAGATGAAGCAATGGACTTAGAGGGGTGAGTAGTCTATTCAGGGCCACTGAGCCTGGAAGTGGGGGACTCAGATTTAGGGGCCAGGCCCGTCTGACTAGGAGCACCCACTGTTCACAACCTTGACAGGGTGCCTCACTGTTCAGCAGAGTAAACCCACACACACACACACACACACACACACACACAGAGCCAAGATTCCTCCTCCTAATTACAGCTGTCTTCATGTCTGCGCTAACAAAGAACATGGGCTGGGAAAGAAATCAATTTAATATGCGATTGCTGTTCCCAATTAGCACAAATTACCATTTGTCTGAGAAGATAATGCTGGAGCTGGAATCCACCCCTGGTGGGTCACAGTGTTCATCTGCCTAATCCACGGCTCCAGCTAGAGCCCTCCTCACAGGGGACCCAGGGGAGGCAAGAGGGGCCAGGAAAGGACCCAGGGAGGCCCGGATGCATCCTGGCTCTGTGCCTGTTGGGAGCCTCCTTTGCTTTTGTCTGCCCCGTGGGCTCTGCCTCCGCGCACCTGTGCCCTTGGCCAAGCCTGCATCAGCTAACACCAGGGCCCCAGTCTTCAGCTCCGCAAAGAAGGGCTGCTGCCTCCTCTCCCCCAAAATCCCTTCCTAGGTCCTGGCACATTCTCAAGTTTGGAAAACATAGGGGGCTTTACTGATGCCCTTCAAGGCTTCGGTGCCAATGGCCTTGTGGTAAGAGACCAGCCTTGGCACAAGGAAGGGCTGAGTGACTCAGGGGCTGTCTGTCATTCTTGCCTTCTCCACCCTTGCCTGTCACCACTCAGTTTCTTGATCCCCGAAGGACTACCTTCTTTCACATGCACTTCCCTCTGCCTAGAATGCCCTTCCCTGCATCCACACGTCTCCAGGCTCACCCCTGTGCATTGTCACAGTCACAGCTCAATACTCATTCTTATAATAACAAGAACTATTCCTTTACTGAGTACCTGTATGTTTTATATATATTGCCTCTGTTATTTAGTCACACAACAACACTGCAAGGGGTATTACTATAATCCTGCTTTGCAGATGGTGGGAAATTGGGGCACAGAGAAGTCAAGTAATCTGCCTGAGGTCACACAGCTAATAAATGTACAGATAGTATTTGAACAAGGAGTTTGGCCTTCAGATCCTACCTCTCAGTTCTTCAGAGAAGGTGCCTATGGGGAGATCTTCCTGCCATTCCCTCTGCTGACACCACTGTCCTTAATGACACTCGGCACAACCATAACCACACACATATCCTCTGCCTGCTTGTCATCTGCCCTTGAGGAGGCAGAGACCCAGCCTGAGTCGCTGAGGGCTGTATTCCCAGCGCCTACATCTATGCCTGGGCTGGCAAGTGCTCAAACAGTATTTTTGCCAGCCCGAGTGAGCAGGCCTCGGACTCTTTATCTCCCTACAGTCGGTGTGAGGACAGTGTAAAGCTCTTGGCACAGGCTGGCCGTTGTTTTCTTCCATGTCAGGGACAGAGGCACTGGATTCGCTGCCCTGGTGTCCTGAGGATCACTGTGCATTCAGTAAATACTCGCTGAGCACCTGCTGTGGGCCATCAGTCCTGGCTGCTGGGTCTGACACGGCAGAGAGAGGAGCTAAAGCCAGACCTCCAGGGAATGAAGCTGAGTCCCAGATAGTCTGGACCTCTGCTCAGGTGCCCAGGCCTCCTGCCCTCCCTCTGTGCCTCCCCAACTACCCCCACACATCCCACACCCTGCACTGGGCACTCACAGGCTTCATGATCCAGGTGATTCCTGGGTTTTTGCGAAACTCTTCCACAAACAGGTGATATTCGCATGGCATCTCAAAGGTTTTGGGGAAGAAGTCGCACTTGGCTGCCTCCAGCTTTCCTGCCTCACGCTCCAGCTGTTTCCGGAACCGCTTCAGGTTCTTCACCATGTAGTTCTTGCGGGTCAGCTGGGCAGTGGGAAAGGCAAGGCAGCCATCGGCTCCTGCTCCCCACCCTGCTCCCCTGCCAGCCCCACCCATCCACCAGCTCCCTTGCAGTCTCCCTTCTTGGCCCACAGGAGAATAGTAAGTAACTTTGAGAGCCTGCTAAGTCTGTAATTATCCCTACTTCACAGCCAAGGAAACTAAAGCTTGGAAAAGTTAAGTCCACTGCCAGAGCCATCCAACAAATACATGGCACTGCCAGGATTTGATCAGAAGCTTTCTGATTCCAACTCCAAAATTCACAGGGTGGTATTGTTGTTGTTTTGAGACAGGGTCTTGCTCTGTTGCCCAGGCTAGAGTGCAGTAGTGTCAGCCTAGCTAATTGTATCCTCAAATTCCTGGGCTCTAGTGATCCTTTTGCCTCATGAGTAGCTGGGACTTCAGGCACCTGCCACCATGCCCTGCTAATTTTTCTATTTTTTTATAGAGATGGGGGTCTTGCTCTTGCTCAGGCTGTTCTTGAACTCCTGGCCTCAAGCCATCCTCCCACCTCAGCCTCCCAAAGTGCTGGGATTATAAGCATGAGCCACCACACCTAGCCCAAAATTCATGTTTTTAACCGCTGAGATGCACTAACCTTTTAACATCTCCCACCACTGGCTCCTCCAATCCTCCCAGACCTCCTTCCCATCTCTAGACGCAAACTTCTCAACTTGTCTGCACTCTGAAATCATCATAATCTCTCAAACATCCACCTCTTTTGGTCATGCACCCTAAGTTAGCCTTCCCCTCAAATCCCCCCCCAAGATTAGTTGGTCCTCAGGCCTTGTATCCTACACCCTCAAACCATTTAGCTTGTCACGTGTCTAGTCCTCATGCTCCCCACCTGGCATGCACCTAAGTCCCTTACACTTTTCCATTCTGGTCCTTGTACCCCCCCAAACCAGCTCCCACTCATGGCCACAGCCAGTGATCTGATCTAGCTGGTTCAGCTCCCACCCCGCCCTAGGCTGCCTGTTCACCTCGTAGTGGTTCCGGAAGTGACTGATCCGCACGTGCTCGTCCATGTAGGTGTGGTCGAAGTTCTCCCGGAGCCAGCTGACATCACACCAGTAGAAATCCCACTCCCCTTCGCTGGTGGACAGGGTGGAGACCAAAGTTAGGACCTGAGGACCTCAGCACTGCTGGGGGTCTATAGCCCAGAGAGCTGCAGCTGAGAGAGGTGTACAGCAATGTGTCCATTGGGACACTGTAGGAGGCGGCCAGGGGCTGCCACTGGCCTCGACGTGCTTTGTTAGGCCAGAGAGAAAACTAGGGAAATGTTCTTACAAAAATCCAGGCTGCTGGTCCCTTGACCTATCAGCAGATCTGGCCACACTGAGCCTAGAATGCCCCCTGGCACCTATCAGCTGGACTGAGGAGCAGCCACCCCTTAGAGGAGCAAGCCCTTCCCCACTCATTAAATTCTCATAGCTGGCCTAAAGGTGACTTCAACCATCCTTGGAAGGTTGGCTGGCCTTGCTCACCAAGGACACCGCACCACTGGGACTCATGCCCAGCTCTGCCAGACTCCAAATCCTGACCCTGTCCTTCCCTGCCATGCCAGGGCAAGGACAGGAAATCAGACTGATCTACCAATTCTGGGCACTAGCACTGGGGTGCGGGGAGGAGCTTCTTGAGAAAGTAGTGAAAGGAAATAAAATGCCATCATAACTGCTTCCCATATTTTTTTAAGTAAAAAATTCTGGATATAACTGAAGTCCCTTGTAGGTCCTATCTGTTTCTATCTTCTCTTCTCTCTCAAAGGGAACCATTAGCCTGAATTTGGTGTATATCATGTCTATGCAATGTCTTTACAGAGTTTCCTATGTATATTTGTGTGTATCTATACTTGTTATTGCTTGGCATATTTTTAAACCTTCTAATTGCTAATACTTATTGCTTACATGTGCCAGCCACTGTTCTAAATATTTTATGAATATTAATGCATTGGTCCTCTTAGCAATCCTAAGTGTTAGGTTCTATTATTATGCCCATTTTACAGATGATGAAACTGAGGCAGGCAGAGATCAAGGAACTCACCCAAGTTCACATAGCTAGTAAATGGCAGAGCGGGATTTGAACTCAGGTCCTTGGGCTCCAGAGTCCAAGCTCTGTGGCTGGAATCACTTCCTGTCTGTTTCTTTTCACAACTTGCTTTTTTCCAACATCCTTTTGATTTGGAGATTCATCCACTTGGTATATATGAGTCCAGTTCAGTCATTGGTAACTGCTCTATTCCATTCCATGGGATGAATAAATCACGATATATTTATCTTTTTTTCTATGAAGAGGTTTGCGTTGCCCCACTCCCATTCCCTATTATGGATAAGTGGTGTTTTGAAAAATATCTTGGGGAGGTTTGAGGCAAAAACAGAGAAATGAGGAGGCAACTGCCTCAGAGGTGACAAATGAACAGGACACGAGCACAACCAAGCGGGGAGGATGCTGTGGTTGACTGTATCCCAAAAGATGCTGAACGATATCTCTCGGCTCACAAGCTGCAGGGCTGTGAGGCACGTGGAGAAGCCGTGAGATTCTTCTTTGGTTGTCTGCCCCAGCAAGGTCCCCGCAGACAGCCAGCATCAACTGGCAACGTGTGAACCAGGACGTCCCCTGACAACTCCCGCTATCAACTGACTTCCAGAGACAGACTCTTCCCAGCTGACGCCCCTGGTGTCACAGGACAAGCCAGTGCCCCTGTATTCTGTCAGAATCCCTGACTCACAGGAGCCATGAAACTAACACAACACTGTCATGAGCATCACTCCTGCAGGGACATTGTGTGGTGACATCTCTCCCCGTTCTGGTCCGGAACATCACACAACCCTCGCAAGGCTTCACAAAATGTTTAACAGCTAATGGGCACAATGCAAGGGTATACAGCACAGCCCCTGGGTGAAGGGCTCAACTATGAGTTGAACTTTGCTAACTTAAATTAATGTAACTTAATCGTTTGTACTCTCATATTAATCAGAAATTTAGAAGAAAAAAAAAAGTAACCTGGGAAAAAAAGTTTAACAGCCATGTCCTTATTTTAATGTTATTGGGGAAAAATATAAATACCAAGACAAACACATAGTTCTACAGATATTATTATAGTGATAAGATCATTGTATTTAAGTGAGTCAATCTCTAGAAAATAGCACACGCCATGCACAGACGTGGCTATGGTAATGCTTACAATAATGGAATGACCCTGGAATCAGGAATTAATGGTTTCCCAATTTCTTCTTAAGTTATTCATGAAAACCCAGTGCCTGGTCCTTCTCCAAACCTCCCCTCTGGCAGACGTGGCAGGCACAGTGGCTGTGAGGACTGGCTTCAGTGACTGATAAAAACCCACTGGAGAACTGGCTATGGCCTTTGTAAACACGCGGGCCTCTGACCCCACAGTCTTGGCCTTCTCCACCCTGACATTTGCACTGGGCCCATCACGCAGTGCAGGGAGCACCAGACCAGGAGTCAGGAGCTCTGATTCTGGTCCTGACAGAGGCACTGCCTCCTATGTGACCTTGCCTTCTTTTCTGGGCCTCAGTTTCCCTATTGGGAAAATTGAGGAGTGCAAGCTTCTAGTCAAGATGGTAGACTTCAATGAACCAAAATGATGTTAAACAAATAAAGGGCAGCAGGAGAAGAAATTTCCTTTACAGAAGAATGCCACCTAAAAAACACAGGAGGAATAAGAGAGTTAGAGAGTCACCATTTTGTAAGTGTTGTAATTATAAGAGATTTAGGCAAGAATCCTCAAAGTGCACTAAAACCATTGTGTGAAGGTTTGTTGGGGACAGGATGTTTGTATAGTCTCAAAGTATCTGCCCACAAGATACTTACTAATCCCAAAAATCTAACTTGCGTTGGAAAAACCTGGCAGACACCACCTTAACCTGATGCTCAGTCAAGGTTACAGCACCAGTGATGACATGTGAGCACCATGAACTCCTTGATGAGCTACACGGCAAACGCACAGCATCACTTCCTGTGGGCTTCCCAAAATGCATAACCTCAAGATAAGGAAACATCAGACAAACCCAAATCAAGGGGGGATTCTGCAAAATAACTAAACAGCACTCTTCAAAAGTGTCAAGGGTAAGGTGTGGTGGCTCACACCTGTAATCCTAGCACTCTGGGAGGCCAAGGTGGGAGGATTGCTTGGGGTCAGGCGTTGAAGACCAGACCCAGCAAGAGTGAGACCCCCATCTCTTAAAAAAACATAAAAAAATTAGCAGGGCATTGTGGTGTACACCTGTAGTCCCAGCTACCCAGGAGGCTGAGGCAAGAGGATCACCTAAGTCCAGGGGGTTGAGGTTGCAATGAGCTACGATGACACCACTGAATTCCAGCCTGGGCAACAGAGTGAGACTCTGTCTCCAAACAACAACAACAACAACAAAAGTGAAGGACATGAAAGACAAGTAAAGACCAAGGAACTGAAATATAATTGAGGTAGTGAGAGTTAACAAAATGCAGTGTGGGACCCTGGATTGGATTCTGGAACAGAAAAGGGATGTTAGTGGGGGAAAAAAAAAAAAAAAAAACTGCTAAAATTCAAATGAGGTCTGTAGTTGAATTAATAGTAATGTATCAATGTGAATTTCTTGGCTTTGACAAATGTACTATGATTACAGAAGCTGCTAAAAGAGCATGCTGTGTACTATTTTTGAAACTTTTCTGTAAGTCAAATTATTTCAAAATAAGTTTAAAACTAAGTATACTTTAAATGATAAATTTCAACCCCTACCTCACACCTTATACAAAAATCAAATCAAACTGAACGAAGGATCTAAACATAAAGGTTAAAACGACAAAATTCTTAGAAGAAATCATCCAAATATCTGATAACTAAGTTCTCAAACTCATTCTAGAAAAAGTGCCACATGCCTCGTTGCTGAATATTTCTATCATCACCTTTGAAGGGCTTCCCTTGGCCATCTGGTGACTGTAATGACTGAAGTACGTAGCACTTTTTCTAGAATGAGTTCACAAGCTTAATTGTCCAAACCTGTAGTAACAAATCTAGTGACCTTGGAGTAGATCGTAGTTTCTTAGATATGACACTAAAAGCACAAACAAAAAAGAAGAAAAAATAGATAAGCCAGAATTTAATTCATCTAAATTAAACAGTTTTGGTGCCTCAAAAGGCACTTTCAAGAAAATGAAAGATAATGCACAAAATAGAAGAAAATATTTGTAAATCATATACAAGGTGATATGATTTCTAATAGAACTCTTATAATTCAACAATAAAAAGGCAAAGAACTAAATTTAAAAATGAGGTTCAGCGCCTACAGCTCAGAAGTTAGGGTGCCAGCCACATACACCAAGGCTAGAGGGTTCAAATGCAGCCTGGGCCTGCTAAAAGCAACAATGACAACTACAACAAAAAAAATAGCCGGGCATTGTGGTAGACACCTGTAGTCCCAGCTACTTGGGAGGCTGAGGCGAGAAAATCACTTGAGCCCATGAGTTTGAGGTTGCTGTGAGCTGTGATGCCACAGCACTCTACTGAGGGTGACATAGTGAGACTCTATCTCAAAAAATAAAATAGGCTCGGCGCCTATAGCTCAACCGGCTAAGGCGCCAGCCACGTACACCTAAGGTGGCGGGT